CTCTTAACTTCTAGTAATTAAATACTTTTGATGGTCATAAATGCATCCAGCCATGTTTATGAGCCCTGGTATTTGCCTGGGCTGAGAAACATACCCCTCTGGTGCTTTCAAGTTGTGAAGGTTCACACTGACTGGATGATATTTAAAGAACTTTCCACTTCATATTACTCTGTTAATAACTGTATCTGATATTATAATTATACTCTGCCTCTTTGAAAAATTAGCAATGTTCTTCAGCAGTTAACTGTTGTGTTTTTTTTTCATATGTGAAGTTATATGTATTTATATAGCTAATTACTTTGACCTTTCAGTGCTATCCTGTTCTAAAGATTTACAAGCATCCTCTTTGCTGCATTATGAGTGGGTCTGTTTTTCTATCTCCTTTATTTGTAAGACCCAGTGCTCATCCTTCTACAGGTGTATTAGATTATTAGGTTAGGACTGTATTCTGTGATCAGCTTCTGATAGTGCAAAGTATAGTTCTACTTATGCCTCCTGCAGCTTCTTCACAGACATGGGAAAGATAAGCTATCTTTCCATATCCTATACCAGTGTAAACACTTATAATTAAAAAATTGTAAAGTCACTGAACCCTACTGTTTTATCATTTTGTAATAAAGATTAAGACTTAACCCAGGAAGTTAAGCTAATCTCCAGTAATCTCCACTGCTGTTTTATTACCGACCAGAAATGAAACACCTAAAATAATTTGTCCTTTCACATTGCTAAAGGATTTATTTAGTTGGCTTCTAATCATATTTATATTTGGAGGTCAAGAATAATCTTGGCATAAATTAAAAGGTCTTTGAGTGTAATATGGTAGGGAAAAAAAACCAACAAAAACCAAATGGAGCAAACAAAAACTTGGGACGTTTTATCTTCTTGAGAAAACAACAGAAGCCTGTGTATTCATGTAAAGCTAACATTCTGTATATCAGTGACAGTTCCCTTGTTCCAATTGTTTGTGAGTCTCTTCACTGTTTAATTAGCATTTCCTCAAATAAAATACAGGAGCATTTTCTCTTAAGGGGAGCATCTGATGCATGTCCTTGTCTTAAAGTTCCTTTTATATGTCTTACACCTTATAATGTTTTTTTTTTCTGAGGAAAGATATAAATCCTAGTTTAATCTGACAGGAGTCCAGAAGAGACTAACAGTGCATGAAAGCTACCACGTTCTTGTTTAAAAAATCCCAGATGAGCCAACACAGGAATGCTACAAGTTAAACTGAGGAGTTTGTGGGGCTTTTGGTTGGCTTTTTGCATTAAAACATATAGCAGTTTGATTCAAAGCCCAATAAGAGAAGCAGAATTTTAATGTTTTGTAATTGTAGGTAGTACATACTAACAACCAACTGATTATTGACATAAAAGCAGTAATTCTTATTTGCAGCCTTCATTTTTTAATTATACTAGCTTGGTTGTCATTGGAAACACCAGATTTAAGAGTGATGTAGCAGTGGAGACTGGTATTTGCATGAGGGAGGAGGTGTGTCCGTAATGCCAGACAAAAACAGTAATAAAAGAAAATAAGCTCTTGAGTCAGCATTTGGAATGTCTGTTGTTATTGCTGAAGAAGCTGCACGTGGAAACAAGGCAAATAAAATTTGAAATGAAGAGCTGGAAAAGAAATTGCCAATTGCCTGCAAGAATGGAGGAAAACTATTGGGCCTGATTGCCAATTAGATGCTCTTGTTTCTTTCTGACAGCTTTGATAACAGGTCAAAAAAAAACAGTAGGAGCTGCTGTTTAGCCTGCTGAATTTATCCTTCCTGGTTGCTCAAACACAGAAACTCCTCTGCACACAAAGAAATACCACGATAGTGTCAGCAGTAGTTTGTATTAAGGTTGGGTATGGAATGTTTCCAGAAGACTCCAGGGAACTTGTCTTTAGGTACAAAAAGCCTTCCAGACCTAGAAGATAAGCTAGGGATAGATTAATATTGTCAGTTCATATTAAGTGTATTGGTGGGGACATAAAAAAGGACAAGGGCACTTTCTCAGCATATAACCAGTGTTTGTACCTACCCTGTCTTGAGGCAGCAGGAGGTGGTTTAATGTAAGCATAGACTACAGAAAATCTAAGTGTCATGTGAACACTACCACAGTACAGACAAATGTGTTCTCTGTAAGCTAATAATACCTTTTGGCAAGTAGTTGTAATTCCAATAGACATGTACCTTTGGAGGCTTAGTGTTAAATCTTGTCAAAATTGCCTGTGGACTGAGTCATCTTGGGTGATGATAAATCTTTGGGTGCAAGGTATTTATTAGCTTAGATAGAAGGCCCATTTCTGTATTGAAATTGTCTGAAAAGTCTGACTAGTGTAGGTGTTGTCTCTGATTGCTCAGACTAGATCTTTCCTGAATGCCAGAACCATGATTGTAGCACTTCTGCCATTCAATTGACCAGCTAATTTACCCTGTAATTATATAATAGAGTATTTAAGACTGTCTCTTTAGAGCAGAGGTATTAGCTTTATTTTTCTGCTTCATTCAAGAACAGATGTTTCTACTGTGTTACTGACATAATCAGCGTCTTTGGAAATCAAAGATTGGTGTTTTCTGAAATAGGGTATGATGGAAGATGTAAATTATGAATCATAAAAAGGGAGGAGTGAAACTAATTGCGTTGCAACTTTGCAGAAATTGGTTTTGATAATATCTGACTCATGGTAACGGTAAATCATTAAAAACATTAACAGCATGACAGAAATTTTGTCTTTTGCACCTGCATGGGTTAATATTTCATTTATGCTTTGACGTGCTTTTTCTGTATTTCAGAGGACTGTCTTCTGTCTTTTTGCAGTCTCAGAGTCCTTTACATTTCCTTAATTTAGATTTAAATGTTTGATTATTTTTTTTTGCCCTCCAATTTTTCCACAGTTCATTATTTACTTATCTTTAATTGTCACATCAGTTTTTAAATCAAGGTATTTGCACATCCACAAACATCTCTATGTAAGATTGGTCTTTTCTAATATATGTATCCTGTGTGACCCACAGGAACAGTCCCAGTGAAGACAGAGAAAAAACTGACCCAAGTAAAGTAGACAGGATCTCATTAAAATAACTCATGTTCTTTAACAACCCTTTTTATATAGCATCATGGAAAACCCCTAAATTATTATGGAAACTTTATATAACATCATGGAAGATCAGTAAATTACTGCCTTAAAAGAAGTAGAAACATTGGCTGAGATGAGAATCAGTTACATAGTGCACGTAACTTGTTTTTTTCTCTTATGCAGCAGTGTAAATGTAGGTAAATACTTATGCTGCAGGTACTTTTGTACATTGAGACAGCAGTCACTACTGTGACAAAATTTTCCTGAATGGTCTGCCAATACAGTTGCTATCTCAAGAGGTTTCACCATGTCTCATTATATTTATTTTTTTTTAAAACCATGATCCCCGGTAGAAGTTTGTTAAGTGAGAATCTTAACTACCAAGTGATTTTAATCTCTAAGGAAATGTCTAATGGTTTTGGATAAACACAAACTTCAAAATATAACCCCAAAGATTAAAAAACAGAAGATAAAAATAACAAGTTACTTCATTCTTTAAAAAGTCACAGTATTGTATAGTCATGTGAAAAAATAGTTGTTTATTTAAATATAGCATTTTGAAAAAAGTTGGGGACTACTCATTGCTAGCTCATGAGCATCACTTGTGTCGTTATGCATACAGGTTTAGCTACATGTAGGATGCCTTGTCTATAATTTATTTTTTAGCTCCAGATACCTTTCTAGCATTTTTTTTGCAGAGTATCTTTTTCATTACAAATAAAAAAGAATTCTTAGTGAGTACCTCATGGTATAGTATAGTTTCTTTCCCATACAGAGTTCTCTTACAGGAATATTTTTCTTGATCTAAAACACTAAACCAGAAGGGAAAACATACACCAAGTATATAGCAAATAGTTTGATTTGATGCAAATTGATGCAAATAGTACTGTAAGGTGGATGGATTTTTGTTACTTGGGTTTATGAAGTAAAAGCAAAGACACCCTTTACTGCATGGTAGGCACAGCACCACCTGTAGCACTTGCTGCTTTCTAGAGCCAAGTGCTGCTCAGAGCCTTGCACACACAGGTGGGTGCTGCTGTGGGCCCACTTTGGGTATGCCAATGGTATGTGCACTGGAAAACAGCTAATGTAAGTATCAGTTTGCATCTTGAGCCAATTACGTGAGACTTGTTTACAAAATCACACTTATTAACAAGGGTCTGAAGCATCATAATGTAGTAAGGCTTCAGTAAGAGGAAATGATCAAGGATCTTTCATAGGGCTTTATTGGCCCTTGCAAAAGTGCCTTCTCATTTGTGTTGCTTTTTTATGGAGTTGGGTGAAGTAGATTCACATTGAGACTCCAGTCTTTGATCTATAAAAGCCTTTATTTGGCCTTTGACAGTATTATGAGACAACAAGCTTGTCAGAAGGGTGGAGTAAAGGTCTGGAGGTGAAAACTTCTGCAGCAGCTGTTGGACTGCTCCTCAGCATTAACCCACTGATTGGGTGCAGGTACTTGGTAGTGTCCCACTGGGGTTTACTACTATGCCAATGTTGGAGTGCTCAGTGCTTTGCAGGACTAAATCCTAGCATTAAATTGGCAAGAATACTGCATTGCACTTAGAAATATTTTTTTCTAAACATTATTTGCTGAAATGTAAGGTAATTATTTTGGTGTTGGAAAAACATGCAGTGGAGGCAGATTGTTGGTCAGTGATTGTTCTGTGCAAATTAAAACATCAAGTGTATGAAAACAGGTGCTGCTATTTTGAATTTTCAGTCACTGTTACAATGAAAAGAATTCTTAGGTGTTGTATTTTAAAGTGTTGTCTGTAATGCTTTAAGTGTGCCAGGCCTGGAAATGTCATTCAGATCTGGTACTTGGTATTGAAAAGATGGGTAATTTATATTAGTATGTACTTGGAATTACAGTGTCTTATATTTCTGTTTATTAGGTATAAGCAATTGAGGACGACACTTGTTGTCCAAAGATGGAAAACAACACAACTATTATATCTCGTGAAGAGCTTGAAGAACTAAGAGAAGCATTCAGTAAAATAGGTATGTTTTAAATATTAAAATAATACAGATGCCATCTTTATGGATCCTTTTGTTTTGATAGGGCCAAGGTTTCCTTCTGTGTTGCCAGTAATATATAAAACAAATAAGCACATTTGCATAAACCCCCTTATTTTCACTGAAACTGTGTGTTTATTATTTTTTTCAACTTCAGCAATGAAAACAAACCAATTTTCTTGCTGGGCAGTTGCATTATTTATGCCATTGTTTATGTAGCATGATAGGTCTCAAAATTCAGTTTTTTGATTGTCTAGAACCTGAAGGAAAAAATGTTTGGTTAAACTTTTAACTTTTAATATTTTTTTCATGTTAGATCACTGATACCTTGTTTTTACTTTACTTGCATGCTTTGGTGAACTAGTAATTTCTCTTTCTCTGTATTGGATGTTATATTTTAAGTAAGCTGAGCTTGGAGATTTTTTGATCTTGCTAGCAGATGTTAATAAACAACTGTACAATTTTGTATGCTTGACAGGATGTTTGCAGGTTAATGAGTGAGTAAATAAAATGAGAAATTATACAGCAACTAACCCTTATTTCCAGAATGTAATACTGTTGTGCATGTCTGCTTTATTTCTTTTTTCTGCAGTTGTGAGGGGGTGATGTGTCACTGTGCAGTTCAGAAAATCAAACATTTATAATCATTGACAATGAGGAACAGAGTTGCTTTAGGCAAGAAGTCTTAAATATGAGGCATCTCCAGCTTGATAAAGAGACTGTTGGGAAGCTGTGTGTTAGTGATCTGTAAGACCATGAGTAGTGTGGAAAAGGTGAAAAGGGAATTAATTGTTCAGTTTCTGTCCATGGTATCATGTGCTGCCTAGTAGAGAGTAAGAAACCTTAAAATAAAAATAATCAACTTTTCTTCATGACAAATAATAGAACTAATAACGCATTGTCTCGGGATGTTTTTGAGATCAAAAAAGAGTAGAAGTGTTAAATGAACAAGATACATTATACATTAATAGAAGGGGGGGGCGACCTGCACTTGGAGCCCCGCCTGTAGCTGCTTCGCTCCAGCCAGACCCAGCTCGACCCAGCTCGTCCTATCTGCGCCGCCGCGTGGTGAGACAATTCCGGCTACCCCAGCTTATAGGGGAAAGTATAATCCTGCCTTACCTGCACACAAATCGCGACCCTATACGGGAACTGCGTCGAGCATATCCCTCCTCCTCCTTCCCTCACTTAAATAAGTAAATAAGGTGTGTAACTAAGGTGTACCCATATATATTTAATGTGTTGTCATCACTCCTTTTGAACCTCCTGCCCCAAATTGCTTTGTTTTCCCCACAATAAACCGTGCATTTCGTTGGAAATATTAGTAAGCACTGAGCAAGTTATTCACTCGAAAAAGTCAGGGCATAAGCCCCTGTCTCCTCTGTGTGAGGCGATACCCACGTGTGCATCTCTCAGCAAATCCTGATAAGTTAATACACTCCAAAAAGGAGATATAATAGGTCACGGATCGTGACAGACAGTTTTTTGGTTGGTTTTTACCCTCTCCATGCTGCTTTTTTTCCCACTGTCCTTCCTGCATGTTTTCACCTTTCTGCTCTAAGAACTGTCTGTATTGCTCCTACTTGCTGAAAAGCATTTTATTCCTTACTGAACTATGCTTTCTATAAAAGAAATTTTAAGCTTAATTTAGCTTTATTTTTTCTTTCATTTTTACGTTTCCATTGCGTTTTATGGATAAATTGCATGCAGCTATATTGGTAAACAGAGAAAAGGCATATATCTAACTCTGTGCTTGTCATCACTGAAACTTAGCCTTAGTGAAAGATGAACCTAGAGAAATAAAATAGCTGGTAGTCCTGAATGAGCTCACAAGCATGTCTTCTGCTTTTTAGACCATCCCTGTTACTACATGTGCTGTGGTATGTTTGCAGGCCAGACAGTAGATGCATACACATACAAAGTTTGTGTAGTGATTTGTGAATTGTTGGTAGTATTGAAAACCAAAAAAGTAGCTTGTTGTTGTTGTGAGTTTTTTTGTTGGTTGGTTTGTGTTGGTTTTTTTTAACAGGGTATTTTTAGCCTTTCAGCCATGAACTGTGGCCGCCTTCTGAAGCTGTACAGAAGCTGCATAGTGTTGTATGGATTAGAGGGATATTACTGTATAGCAATGAATTATGGCTAGAGATGAAAGCATGTTTCTCTATTTGCCTTTCTGTAACGTGATACGTGTTCATACACTATGGTGTTATTGGCTGAGTTCTGATACTAGAGACAATATAAAGAGAGGTCTTTTAACTAATAATCAAAAATAACAAAAGTGGGAGCATCCTGACAAGTCAGAAAAGTAGCCACATCATCTTGCTTCTGTTTCTAACTCATTTTGTTAGTTGTGCCATTCTCTTACTTACCTTAGATGCATCATTGGAGAACTGGGAAAATACTATTAATATTTTTCAGGAGCTTTAATATGATCCTGGAAGAGTCTGAAAAGTGTTGTCAAACATAGAAAATATTAGCACTAAATGTAAAGTTATGGATATTATATTCACTGCTAGTTATGCTGGATATGATTTCACATATTTGAGCTTCATTTGTATTGTGTATGGACCATAGCTTTTGTGCTTTTAAAAGTACTTCTCTCCATTGCAGTTATTGCACTACAGGTAAGGCATTCTCAGACTCTGCTCATATAGATAAGTATCTGGAAACATGAATAGATATAAAAAAATAGGAACAGTTAATTTGTGATTAATTTACACATTACATTGGATAAAAACATAGGTTTATAAAATGATGCTTTGTTATACTAAGACAAGAATTTGTGACAGCTCTCTGTGCACAGATGGCCTAAGGCGGAAGTACAAAGGGTATTTTTATGATTTCTACCGTGCTGCTGTGTTGTTCATCATGAGTAACATGAATTATAGTGAATTTACCTTAATTATTTTTCATGTGATACAGCCATTCACTTCTTTCCACAGTTACAGAGCTACACCATAGTTCTGGTTGAAAAAAATTATTGATACTTTGCGTACTTAGGTATAAATGACATGTGGTCTTGGGAGCCAAGTGTAAGTGAAGGTGGCAGTACAAATTTCTCCCAACAGCACAAGTTAACAGATAAGGGAAGGTCAGCTTTAATAAACAGATACAGATCATCCCAGGTTTATCCTTCACAGATAAGCCCAACCCCATCAAATGTTTTGAGGAACAGTAAATGTCTACTAGATGAGAAACAAAAATCTAGAATCAATAGAGTTCTTGTGCAAGGAGGTTTTTTTTTAAGTGTGCTCTTCTAATACCAATTTGCATCAAAGTTGAGTTTTCTGATTGTAGATGGTATTATATTGATGATAGGAATATAATAATTGATCTCCCTTTCACTTGAAAGTTTATAGGAAATTTTGTTTGGAGTCTTAAAAAAAGCTTAAACTTGGCTATTTACAAATCTACCATCTTGTTATACCTGTGCTTTGGGATTATAAGAGTTCCTGAGAAAACATGTAAGATGGCACAACTCACCAGCTTTGCCTCTAATCCACAAGTATTCTTTCATGCTTGCCTATCTGTGTGAGAATAAATACTAGTCTTCTAGAACTGCTTGTGTTTTTTTACACTTTACTTTTCTCAACCTGGTTCTTTGTGTAAATATAAAAACAACTTGTGCTTTCATCTTGCAGATATCGACAACAGTGGGTATGTCAGTGATTATGAGCTTCAAGACCTGTTTAAAGAAGCAAGTCTGCCCTTGCCTGGTTACAAAGTCCGGGAGATTGTAGAAAAAGTCATTGCAGTGACAGATACCAACAAGGATGGGAGAATCAACTTTGAAGAATTTGTCTCTGTAAGACATCCCTGTTTGGATGTTTCTCTACTGTCTGATACTGGTTGAGAAGTAGGACAGAAAACAGTAGTTCAACTAACTACTATTTTGATACAAATAACTAGTATTTTGAGCATGGGAAGGTTTTCTGTGACAATTTACAATATTCTGTATATTTTCCAGTCTTCATATATCACTTTGCAATTTAATTTAGTAGATCTTACTTGGGCAGGGGCAGCATGTGAGAGTATAGTAATTTCAGTCACTCCTACTTTGTTTCTGCAAATAAGTGGGGATGGACTACATATTTTAGGAACTGTTAGGTCAGCCCTTGCCGTATCAAAAGAGCAGATAATTACATACCAGCCTTTGGATTCTCTTAGTGGTATGCACTACTATGCTTATTCTCTAAAGTAAAGACAATTTTTTACAGGGAGTGAGGTATAGTTTTCCACTTCTAGTGAAAAAAATTTGAAAAGTTTAGACTTCTAATGTGATCAATGGCTAGTGTGCTTTATTTAAAAGAAATTTTTCAGGCTGTTGGTTTGTGTGTGTTTGGGGATGATTAGTTTTTGCTTTGAGTTTAGAGTACTGCTGCTAATTGCAGCAGGTTGCTTGTCAAAGTAGTTACTGATCTTTCTTTCCAAGATTGTAATTGTCAGTGGCTCATAAATGAGATGCAAATGTTTGCATCCAGGTGCTGAACTGCATCTGTTACTTATACTTGATTGACAGTTTTGAGACCAGTATTTGGGCAAATTTAAGACACTGGTATATCCGATGTAGTGGAAAAATTCTGTAGATTGTTGCATATCTACTTTTTTAGATAGCATGGCTTGATAAAGGTAGGACTGTAGGTACTCAGAAATAATATAATAGATATCCAGCATGTAAGTTTTCATGAAGGGTTTTAAACTAGTTTTACCCATAGAGGAGTTTTGTTTGGTATTTCCATGGGCTTCTGCTCTGAAAAGAAAAAAGCTGTTAATTAGTGACTCTGGAGTACTTATATGAGTTATCACTTAATTATTTGAAGCTATGATAAATCACAGAATGCTCTCTATTTTTCTTATTCCAGATAATTCAGGAATTGAAAAGTAAAGATATTAGCAAATCTTTCCGAAAATCAATAAACAAAAAACAAGGCATTACAGCAATTGGAGGAACATCAGCAATATCTAGTGAAGGGACACAACACTCTTATTCAGGTAAGAAACAAATGTGAGAGAATTTTGCATGGAGGAAGACTCTTGAAGTTTGCACTACAGATGAAGGAAAAAAAAAACCAACCTGGAAAAAGTTACTGTTGAAAGCAAATTAACAGAAAGGAAATGTGGACAAGATAAGTGTGGGTGGTAGTTTACTAAAGGTTGGCTGTTCAGTTGACAATTTCATGCTGCACTGAAGTAAGTTAGGAATTCTTGCCTGAGCAAAAAATGAAATCAAGCACTGACAGCATGTGTAAAAAGAAACAAATCACCCCTTTGGCATACTTCTAGTAATGCTACTCAAGATTTTGGCTTTGTTACATGCTAATTAAATGTTACTCTTATATTAATATAAAAATTAATCTCAATTTTTTTGCCTTTTTTCATTTTATTTAACACTGTGGGAATAAAAATAATCTCTGTCTGGAAAGGCCTCCTCTGCTGTCCCTGTGCCATTACAGAACTGTTCACTCCCATATGATTTGTGGCTAGCTAATCTCATACTTGAGACGTTACTGTTAACATTTGATCTGTTTCTTTCTGCCTCCCTCCGTTGCATGTCATTTAAGTGTGTAATTGCTCCTCCTGGTCATAATGCTAACTAACTTCCAGAATCATATTTCAATAAGCAATATTGCAACTTTTTTATTGACTACTATCTGGTATTTGCTGTGGTTCCATAAGTGTGGTAAGATTCTCTGTATGAGGGGGATTCACTTCAGGTAACTAAAGGTGGTCATACCCTCTCCCTAGGTTTTATCCTTATAGCATGAGCTGAACTTGGTTTATCTCCAAAGCAGGGGATACATTGCATCCCCAAGCATGCCTCTAGGGGGGACACCAACAGAGCTCATTGTTTAGACTCCCTTTCATCTAATTGGTGGGAAGACACTGACACCACTAGGCTGCAATTCACCTGACCTGGCCTCATCAGCCATCTACTTTGAGATGATCTGTGTGCACTAAAATTTTACTTTTCTACACACTGACAATTAAAAGTGTAATGAGTCATGTGTAGCCATGTGTGTTGTGTGCTTCTTGGGGTAAGTGAGGTGAATACCACCTGTACTGTCTGGGAATTTGGATACTGATACTTGATTGACTGTTGTCCCCATAGCATTCTTAGACACACAGTAATAAATAATGCAATAAATCTGAAACTCAGGTACTAAACATTTTAAGTTTCTCAAAGTCAGGTACAGCACAGTAAACCAGGTAACAGTTTCAAAAATGCTGCCAGTCTCTGAAGTCCTAGTAGACAGCAGAATGGAATGGTGCAATGTAAACCAAGGGTGTGTAGATTGAGATGTTGCACATTTCAGATCACAAATTTATTTTCATTGTAATTGCTGAGAAACAGAATGTGAAGTCAGCCATGATGATCCATTATATTGCTGTGGTTTTTATGTTGCCCTTCAGAAAATCACCAGATGTTTAGAGGGAGCAGTAGGAGAAAGATTGATCTGTACTTGCCACTTTCTGCTTTCTTTCCTGCTG